GGAATCCCAACCGAGAAAGAGACAACTTTAAAGTTTATTTTTTAAAATCTAAACTGTTGCTAAATATGTAATGGTATGGTCAAAGTCTCTGCTTGTGAAGTAAATACAAACAGATTTTGAACATATGATGCAATGTGATTTCAGGAATACAAAACCTTGGACTCTGAGTCTAGGTTTCTATAGTTTAATTTACAAAGTAGAGTTGGAAAGGGTATAAAGTCATCAAGAGCTTAAAGAACAAGGCTCTATGTTTCTCCCACCTAAATGTGTCTGTTTATTCCTGCTCATGGTTAATAAAATGTATAGGCTAAGTGTAACTTGAAATCCAAGTGTTGGCTAATCTGTAGTGGTGAGTATAAACCCCAGAAAGACAAAACAGTCACTTGATTTGCCAAAATTCCTTGGCTTTTTCTAATGTTTTTTTTTCCACGGGCTCTGCCAAATTAAACGTCAATGGTAAGTTTAAATGTGTCTTCAACATGTCATTTAGCATCAACTATCAGTCAGCAACTTGGTGATAATCATGAGTTAATTATTGCAGTGTGAGTTGAACTACAGGGAGTGGAAACTGGATCAGACCATAGGTCAACCACATGGTATACAGTTATACAGAAAAAGTTATACAGAAAAAAAAACCAACATGCATTGGAAGACCAACACCTGCATCTCATCTGAAGACTCATCTGAAGATTTTTCATTGACCCAAGTGTGTTTTCGGAAGAGTTCTGGGAACAACTTGTAATTCTCAAATATGTTCAAATGGCAAAGGACTCAGGACAAATAATTTATTTTAATTGTCCAGATTACTGTTAGTTATCTTTATATTTAAAAGCTCAAAGGAAACTTCTACTAGCCCAAGACTGTATCTATAGCTATATCACCATAGACATAGGCAATTCTCCTTACAAGCTGTCAAACTAGCTTTAACTTATTTCTTCATTTTCCTGTTGTTAACTTGTTTTCTGTAAAACACATGTTGTAGTGTGTTATTTGACTTTAGTGTCTACATGGAATATTTAAAAATACCTATTTGCATTTTAGAAAACTCTTCCATTCCATTGATTTTTAGGGGGTAGTGCAAGTAAAAGTTGAGGGTTCCTGTGGTTCAGTTTAAGAAAAGTATCTTTATGAAGAGTGCTTGAAAGGAAACCATCAAAGAGGGCATGCATTCTTTTTTTTTTCAGTTACATTTTTAATCCATTTCGAATTTCAAGCATATAGATAATTGACAAGAATGGAACACAAACCATCCATATACTCTTTAAGTTTCACCAGTGTAGGCTTTTAGAACAAAAAGAAAATGCGCTCCATGCCTTGTCATGTCTTCCCACACTTCCTTAGCTTTTGCCTTTCACAACCTTTGCCTTTTTGAAAAATCACAGGGCAGTCCTTTTGCAGAATGTCCTTCAACTTGAGTATGTGCAATGCTTTCCTATGACACAACCCTGGTGATGTTTTGGGCAGGAATATTGCAGAAGAACCACTGTGTTCTGCTTGCATCCTATGGCTGGGATGTACAACATGTGTTTGTCTCCTGAGTAGTGAGTGGTATTAATATTGATTATTTTGTTAAGATGATATGTCCCCAACTCATTTCTCATTCCACTTGCACTCCTCAATTTTAGCATCCATTGATACTTTCTTGCCAGAACTAAATGTTTCTGTGATGACTTCCAAATTGCAATTTTTTAATTCCATCATTCCTACTGTATTCATTTTTTTGGCATTCCACAGCAAGGGAGAACTTTCTTATCTTCCCATATCTTTGTTAATGTCAGAAAATATTAATTTAATGTTTGTTAATGTTAGAAAATATTAATTTAATGTTTGTTGCTATCAGTGTGGACTCATGGATTCTTGTTTTAGTCAATAGGTTATAGGGCCTCCCCGGTGGCGCAGCGGTTGAGCGCTGGGTTGCGAAGCTGCCGCGGCCTCTGCGGCGCCGGTTCGATCCCCAGCTGCTCCCGGCCACCGGCGGAGGATCCCACATGGTGCGCAGACCTCTCCTGCCACCCGCTGCTCCCCTCAGCAGTGTACTTCGGTCCTTCTGCCTGCTCTGTTCCCTGCTCTGGCTCTGGTGAATTCTCTCACCCTCCCGTGCTTCTGACTGTACCCAGTGCATGTATAAACAAAACAAACAAACAAACAAAATAAATAAATAAAACATGCCTCTATAAAATAAAATAAAAAAAAAAATAGGTTATAACTCATTAATGTCATTACTTATATTGACACTCAAATTGTCCCATATTTGACTAGTGAGAGCCCCTTCAGATGAATTGGCTTCTTTTAACATGTCCCTAACATTCTCTGAGTGTTACATGAGTTGTTTTCACAACATGATGTTCCAGGCTTATCTCAGATCTTCCACGTCCCATGCTAAAATCTGACATTGATCTAAGGAGCTATGGCACCTTGTGATGGAGAGTTGTGTTTAAAGACGAAAATCTAGGGATCCTATACTTTCAAAATATCAACAATAATTTAAACCAATGTAATCTCAAAATTAAATAAGAAAAAGAAAGAAAGAAAGAAACCAATATCTAGATACTAGATATTGAGTTACTGGGCATATTGGTGTTCCAAGAGTTACTGGGCATATTGGTGTTCCAAGACTGTCTTGGACAGAGCTAGGAATTGTCTATATATATAGGAACACAATAACCAAGATTACCATATATATGATGTCTACTTCACTGTGTAGTACTTCACTGATAAGTCTACTTCAAATCCAACACCACAGGGTTCAACTGAGCTTTCCCTACTTCCGAGTTGCTTCTCCTCATCTGCAAGAAATCTGACTGCCATTATCCACAGTACATCTGCTGCTCAATCCCTTTCATACAGTCCACCTTGTGACAATTCTGGGCTGCCCTCCTCATAAGGGCCACCGTAACTGTGCCACTCAGATCCACCCCATGACTTTTGCTCTGAATTAGGAAGGAAGGATGAAGGAAGGAGAATATTGTTTTAAAATTGGAGGTATAATTGACACATAATAAAATGCACAGATCTGAAATATTTATTTGGATGAGTTTTGATAATTGCATGGACCCAAGTAACAAAACAGGCTATCTCCACTTTCCCCAGAAAGTTCCCTCATGTGAGGGAATACATCCATCAGGAAATATCATGAAAACCCTTTCCTGGTCCCTACTCCTCTCTGTCACTCAGTTGCAGGTTCTTTTCTCTTTTCAATTTCAAACTTATTAAAATTTCTTTTCCTAAAACCTAATCAGTGTGGTTTCTCTCTTTCTTTTCACCATCTATCTTAGATCCTTGTTATATAGAGCAACTCAACACCTCTCCATAAGGTGGATTGTGTGTGGGGGGGGGGTGAGAGGGGGGTGTATTTTGATTTAATCACAAAAGGGGAAGGATCATTATTGATATCACTGGCAGCACATTTTTTTTCTTCTCAAGGAACATAATGTTCACTAGGAGCAAAATATAAGAATCATTGCCTGACAAGACCATTTCTCAAAATGATGTCTCAAGGAGCTCTGGACCTGTGGCTATAAACCAAGACCACCCAAATGAAAACAAGCAATGGCCATTTTTAGAACTTGCTCTAGCAAGAGAGTCAGCCATCATCATCATCATCATCTGCATTTGGCAGAAATTTAGAAGAGTAGGAAAACTTTATGGTGAAAAAAGGGAAAATTGAAGTATGCTCTGATTGGAGGTTGCTGGAATGGAGAAGACAGAGGCAGACTAACTAGAAACTGGAATACTGTGTGCTCGATCAGAGGAACATATTTGGCTTTACCTGGTTGGTCTTCATTTGGTCTGATTGCTACAGAAGTTGTGGTTTGGCTTCCTTCTACAGACACTGTGGGTCAGAGTTTATTTTAATATATTGTCTGGCCAGTGTATATTTGTATATTCAGCCCCATGGAGCAAAGTATGTATAAGACAACTATGGAGTCCTGGATGGTCCCCTGTGGATTCTCCCAAGAACCATCATGAGCACTGGTCTATTCTCATCTCCTCCTCAATTTCTTCTTTGAGTCCCAACTTTTAATTTCATATTAACTCTCCAAAACTAAAAGAGATCTAGAAATCTATCTAGAAATCTATCTATCTAGATAGACCTAAGGAGGATTAAGAATGGATGAGCAGGATCTTGTGTTGATTTGTTCCTAACTAGAGGTAAAAGGGGAATGGAAAGGGAATATTGTGAGCTCTGCTTTTTAGGCATCATAGTTTTAGAGGCTATCCTGAAGGTGTTCTTTCAGTGAAATAAGCCAGAAAGAAAAAGAAAAATACCGGATGGTCTCACTCATAGCAGGAATTTAGAAAACCTAAATAAGGGACCAGGAAAAAGACTAATTATAATCAAGAAAAAATCAAAATCAACAAGCAATTATAAACCAGAGATACACTACAGGTGGGAGGAGAGGAGGGGTTAGGGTCAAAATAGGGGGGGTGGGAATTGTATGGGGAATATAACCAAAATGAAAATGCATACATTGTGCAAAAATGAAAAATGATGTAAGAATTATATGAAATAAAAAAATAAAACTTTTTATGTTGTAAAAAAAAGGATCATACATCTGGATACTGTAACGTGGCTTCAGAGGTGTGGAGACTGTGGTCTAGAGGGTAAGTGATCATCCTGTGCTCATCTCCCAAGATGGTGGGGGAAGCAAGAGCTTGCCCTCTGGAGCTCCATCCACTATGCACACAACACATAGGCTAGAGCATGAGCTGTCTGGGCTCAACACCCCACAACCTGGGGTGTCAGGAACCATAATGGACCTCACCACAAATATCATGGAGACAGAAACCATCTACCCAGGATTTCACAACTGACCCACAGAAGTGAAAAGTAAATGATTAAAGGATGTAGGTCTTGGAGTTCCTTTCAAATCATGATTCTCTATCTTCTATTTACAGAGATAAAAGTTCACCAAAAAAGTTAATATTTAAGCACTGTGATATTTGCACATCTCTTTTTTAGTGGAGGAAAGGCACTGTGTCATTGTGAATCAGCCACGATGATTTCTGCGGTGCGTGTCTTGTTCTTGAGTTTTCTCTGCTATGTGGCTACGGAAGGATGGAGTAAGTATTCTTTGCTTTTGAAAAAACACAATCTATCCAACCCACCAGCATGTGCCAAGGCTCGATAATGCTACCTTCCACGTCTTCAGGCTGGATGCTGGAGAGATAAGACTGATACTTATTCTTGAATATAGCCCTGCATAGAGTGTTTCCCTAAGATATTTAGTTAGCTTAAGTCTCAGGGGCCTGACCTACAAAATGCATGAGTAGAAGTTAAGTGCCCTTCGGAGAATCGTTGAGATTAGATGTGGTATCGTGTCGACCACGTATTTGGTGCAGAGCTCGGTGTGCTTATTATTTGTAGAGGTAATGGTGTTTTGCTCACGTATGCTAGTGGACCTTAGAAACACAGCTATAGATTTCTTTATATTTATATTTATTTTTACTTTTATTTTATTTTATATATTTTTTACATCATTTTTCATTTTTGCACAATGTATGCATTTTCATCTTGGTTGTATTCCCCATACAATTCCCACCCCCCTTGTTTTGACCCTAATCCCTGCTCCCCTCTCCCCCCAACTCTGGTTTATAGTTGCTTGTAGATTTCTTAACCAACTGCTTTGTGTTCTCTTTCCAGCCTGTTCCAAACCAGATGCAATACCATTTGCCACAGTTGTTCCATTAAAAGCATCCTACGAACCAGGGGAGGTGATAACTTACAACTGCCTGCCGGGCTACTACACCAAGGGAGGGTTTAGACGGTTTACCTGCCCCCTCACCGGTAGCTGGCCCATGAACAGCATGAAATGTGTCCGTAAGTGAGCGCCTTCTCTCCCTGCTCTCCGCTCAGGTGGAGTCTGGGTGTTGGCGGGAGATGACCTTCTGCCTTGCCAGCTCAGGGTGCAGCGTGTCAGCCGAGCTGTGGAGTCAGGGGCTGTGAAGAAGCGAGAGGGCTGGGGGCTCCTTAGGGGAGGGGAGACTAAGCGATACCTGCCATTAAGAGAAGGGGAGACCAGCAGAGTCGGAACTGGCAGGTGTAAAAAGGGGAGCGGGTCTGATAAAAGGAGTGGGAAACACCATAGAAGTGAAAAGAACTGCAGCTACTCTGAAACAGATGGCAAAGAGACACTTGAAAACACAAAACTTGAGCAGTCATTGGATCTTTGGATTTTGCCTCAAAATAAAAGAAGCTTTCACATTGAAATGAATATACATTTCATCTCATTTTATATACTATAATTATATATATAAATTATATACTATACATTATAAATATATTAAGTTTATAACATGTTATGGATGTATATACCCCACATTACTTTATGGTAGATTGCTGATTTTATGGTCCTGTGATACCCAGTAAGAACAATATTTCAGAGTCAAATATTGGACAATCAATGAGATAGAATTTCTGGCAATTTTGTGTAAGAATTAAGCAGTAAAAATAACTATGTGGACCTATGTGAGCTTTGGTTGTTTAGATCATATAGGTATAACCGTTGTGAAAATTACACAACTTCAAACAAATTATTTTAATGTGCTTTTTTGATTAAAAACAACTAGACAATTTTTAGTGAAAATCACTGCAATATCATTAGGGAAATTTTTTTTATATCACTCATAACTAGAACTCTAGCAATTTAATTAATTAATTAATTTTCCTTGTCACCATCCCTTATATCCTCTGTCCTTTTTTCTCCCTCATCCCTTTTAACATCAGAGCCCTCAGTTTTTTGAAAGTGTTTCACATTATTGACCTCAATAATGTTGAATTCTGCTATGTCAATGTCCAGTATTTGTTTTTATGACTCTGACTACTTTGAGACACATAATTCCCTCAAATTCCCTCCTTTTTGTTGAAAATGGCTACATTTTATCCTTTCTTATGACCATATAATACTCCATTGTGCGGACATACATCTTCTTGATCTAGTTACCTATTGATGAGCATTTAGGCTATTTCCAGGCTCTAGCCACTATAAATAATGCTTGTATAAACATTGTGGAACTTAAGGCTTGTGTGTGTGTGTGTGTGTGTGTGTGTGTGTGTGTGTGTGTGTGTTGATGGCTTTATATTCTTTGGATAGAAGCCCAAGGATGGGAATGCTGAATATGCATGATTGTATTACAGGTTGTATGTATGGTTATATCTCGCAGGTATGAGATAGCATCTCATTGTGGTTTTAACCTGCATCTCTCCTATCAGGAACAATGATGAACAAATTTTCATGTCTGTAGGCCTTCTGAACATCCTCTTTGGTGAATTGTCCATTTATTAAACAATTTTATTTTTTCAAGTTATTTTCCATACGTATATTTTTGCATCATGTCATGGAGAAGATATCATTTTGCTTTTTCTATTTTCATCAGTCTATCATAAAGATTGAATGCCTCCATAAACTTCATAATTTATATTTTGTGGTCTGCATGAGATTTCAACTATTGATTAACTTACCGTGAATAATTAAATAATGCCCTGATAGTGAACATTTAGAGTATCCAGTTATTTGTTATTAGAGGTAACAATGTAATGAATTTGTGCATAGTTCGTTTGACTTAATTTGAGTTTAGGTAGTGGATCAAAGGATATAAATAAGTCTATATATTTTTATTTTAATGGAAAATTCTATAAATAGAAATTTATCTTTTTTTCTTTAAATCACAGCCAAAGTATGTCCTTTTGCTGGAATCTTGCAAAATGGAATTGTACGCTACACAACTTTCGAATATCCTAATACAATCAGTTTCACTTGTAACACCGGGTAAGGATTTTTAGTTAACAGATGCAAAACATTTCTGTGTCCTTAAGATAAACATTAAGATGGGTCAGTATTTTATTTCTAGCCTTTAGGTTGAACATACTGAGTACAAATCAATTTTAGTCGTGCTTTATATACCACAGTGGTGTTAAGGGTGAGTTAAGGGATGGAAAATATAACAACTAGTGAAATACGAAGTCATTACTAAATCTCATTTTTCTGCTCTTGATGAATTAGTTATCTGAGGAAATGATTGAAACTAGATGATGCCTTATAATCTCTGGTCCAGATCTTGGCACCAGGGCAAAGATACTTTAGGAACTGAACTTGGACTTTTGAGATGAGTCTAATTTCATTGACTGTCCTGGTAGTCTCTAGAAGAGAATTCTATGGAGAAGGTTGGCTGTGTGATGATGTACAATACAGTTCTCTTAATCTTCACATAATATAATATCCCCAAGAAGAAAGACATATGGTGGTCTTATAGCTCATCTGCCTTGTCAACAGACACCACCAAGTGACATTGTCAATAGCACATTGGCTGTATATCAGGGCAAAATTTTACTAAGAATCTTCATTTGGGATTGGAGATTAAGAATTAGAAAGTATAAAATAGTATATACAATACAGTTCTTTCCTTTCATCTGGCATGACTGATTGCAAATATATTGGTGGGGCTGATGACAACTAACCTTGAAATAATTGTTTTAAGGGCAGAATGTTACATTCTCAATGGGAGTAAACCACATTAGTTTTACACATTTTTGTCAGCTGACTCTCAGAAAATAGTGAAAATTATTCGTTGATTCTCTTTTGTGATCCTGAAAGAGATGATTCCTTGCTTTATGTGGGAAGTAGTTAACTTGGTTGGAAGGGAGGTGTTTGGGGGTTTGGCTTCCACCCACCAGCTATGAAACCAGCTTACCTTCAATTAGTCATCTGGGGTGTTAGGTTGGAAGATTCCCTAATCTTAGATGAATATTAGGCTCTCCAGCACCATCAGATGGGAAAGAAGTCAATAGTGTTGGTTTGAAGAAGTCCTCAGTGGAGAGGTCTTTAGTGATGCTGCTAATGGACTTTTACTGTTTGATGGATTAGATTCTCCTTTTGCAGGTTTTATCTGAATGGATCTAGTACTGCTAAATGCAATGAGGAAGGAAGATGGAATCCAGGCATTCCTGTCTGTGCTCGTGAGTTGGGTCTCACTTAGGGGGGTTTGACCTATTGGTTTTGCCTGGGACGTTCCTGATTTTACCACTATAACTTTTACAACCAAAACCCTTCAGTCTCAACTCAATAATATGGTTGTTACCCTTTTCGAGATTGTTCATCCTATACCATTTTGCTTTGAGGATGAAACAAGCAGCTTGTAATGGCAAAAGGGAATTATTTGACTTACGAACACATTTTATATTCTCCACCTGGTAGAGTTTGTGATTTCTGAGTTTATTAATTCCAATAGATCCCCAAGTTTTGGTGGGTCTTGAATATGTGTGGCATTGATCTATTCAGGACTGCCACTATTTGACTAGAAGAACTGGAAACAGTGAGATCAAATATCTTCTTTGCACTCATTCATATATCCAAGTGAACCTGTATTGAGGACCTACTATGTGCAATCTCTTATTCTCAGCACTAAAGCTTTAAGAGCTAAAGGACACTTAGCTCTGCTCTCAACAGGTAAGTCTAGAGAGGAGGGAGACAAGAAAAAACAACCCTAGAGCCCACCCAAGGGCCTTGTATCCTACAAGTTTATTGAGATGCCCCAGGCATGCTGGTTTATTAAGGGGATGCTCGGTCAAGCAGTCAGGGGCAGCTCTGGGCTTTGCTTATCCAGGGAGGGTGTTCTTATGAAACCTGGGATTTATGTAAGAGCCATCTTTTACCAGGGGGCTCAGGTGTTACAACAATAGTTATGGTTCTTTGACATTTAGAAGAGGTTTTTCCCAGCAAAAGCAAATGGAAAAGTAAAACCATTTCAAATCAAGAGTGGTTTCAGGGAAATTGAACTATAAAAGAAAGATTTCCTTTTCTTTTTTTAAGGATAAATTAACTGGAATTATTCACCTGGTAGCAGCAATCACCACGGGTCTTCAAAAAGTTTCCTTTGAAGCAGATTTGTACCAAATAGTGAGGTCTCTTTTCTTTTTAGTTATAACAGAAAAGCTGCTTTAGCTTCAGTCTCATCTAAATGAGAGTTTCTCATGCTTGCCCATACCAATGCGTTACCTGTGCATCTTGTTAAAATGCAGATTCTGATTCTTGGGTCTGGGGTGAAGTTTGAGTTTCTGCTTTTCTGATAAGTTCCCAGGAAGTACCCATGTGTCTAGTCCAGGGATCACACTATGAGTAGCAAGGATCTAGATAACACAACGTAAATTACATTTTGGCCTGTACTCACTTCCATTATGTTATTTTACCCTTCTCTGGCTTGTTGAAATTCTCCATCAGACAGGTCAAGATGACAAACCTCTACCACATCTCTGTGTGATGCACTTATATGAGCTCCACATAGTGAGTGTAAAAGCAGGAGGTAATCAATAGTGACAGACAGACCTGAACTAGCAGTGGAACTCAAATGACTCAGATGACTTTGCACCAGGTCACTGTCCTTGGCAATAATGTCAACATGGCCCCTCAGCGACATCCAACTCTGACTCCTAGAAGCATCTTCCAATGTAGCATTTGGATCAAAGATTTATGGAAACCAAACTATTGTGTTATTGTAAACAGCAAATGAATGGTGGCTATATTTAAATTTAATTCATGTTTTTAGTTTTTTGTACTGGTTCGGACATCTAGTTTCCAAATCATATTTCTTTATTTGCCATCAATTGTTTTTACCCTGGCATTTGATCCAATTTTGCATTTTCTCAAGTTAATATTTGGCTTGGTTTTCTTTCTGGAAAAGGTTTCTTTAAGACTCAAGCATTTTCATAAAAATGATTGCTCTTTTTCTATTCAGCTGTAACCTGTGCTTCACCACCCGTACCTAAGTTTGCAACACTCAGTGTTTACAAGCCATTGGCTGGAAACAACTCCTTCTACCGGGACACAGCAGTCTTCCAGTGCTTGCCACAATATGCCATGTTCGGAAATGATACAGTCACCTGCACAGAACATGGAAATTGGACTCAATTACCAGAATGTAAGGGTAAGTGCAATGAGAAGACAAAATCATCCTGTGGAGGCATTTTTGAAAAAGTCAAATGACTTTGTTCAACAAATGTTTATTGGCATCTGTCATGTGCCAGGAAGTGATAGGTGATAGGACACCAGATGGATGAAACGAGACTTCTGACTTCAGGAGAACTGCATTTAATGCACTGAACTTTCTGTACTGCCTGGGAAAAATTCCCAAGAAGGGTCTTGGGGGATATTCCCGGACTCAGTCAATTGTGCTATTGGTGATTGTAAAATGGTGACTTTTTTCCTTTTTATTTTTTTTTTAATTGAAGGAGCATTGTGTGATAACTCTATATAAGTTGCCATTGTGCATCATTATAAACAACATCTGTATTGATTACATTAAGTAATGGTGACTTTCTAATCCTATTTTTCATTCTGTATTTATTGGTTGGAATTTTTCTATAGAGAAGAACTTTTCTTCCATGGACTTTTTTTAAATATTACTATAGGCATATAGATTGTTTTTTATTCTATATGTGGAAGAGCCAAAATTGAACCAAACTTTGGAGTTTGTACTCAAACTGCCTCATTAAATTACCTCCCCAAAGCTCTGTGCTCTTCCCTGGCTCTGGCCTTGCTCTTGTACTGGGGTAGATAGGAATACGATCCCCTGTTGAGGATCTTAAAATGACCAAAAAGCAGTACTGATATTCTCCTTCACTTTTCTTTTTTTTTTTTTAGAGATTTATTTATTTTTATACAAGAGCTGGGGTACAGGCCAGATGCGCGGGAGGGTGAGAGGATTCGCCAGAGACAGTGTGGGGAGCAGAACAGGCAGACTGACTGAAATACACTGCTGAGGGGAGCAGCAGGAGAGACAGGAGAGGTCTGCTGCGCCATGTGGGATTCTTGCTGGCCTGCCAGGATAGAACCACACTGCAGAGGCTGCAGACAGCTTCACAGCGCGGTGCTTAACTTGCTGTGCCAATGGGGAGGCCCCTCCTTCACTTTTCATGCTGGTTTTTGGTATAGTCTGAAGACAATCATAAAAATTAGTCTTAACATTTAAAATCCAAATAATGGTGTGCTCATGTGCATGAAGGAAGTTAACAGAGACAGACTTTTCAATCCACCCTCTTAGACTGCATGGAAATGAAGTTTACAATAAGTTTACAATACCTCATAATTATGTGGCATCCAAAGAACTTGGTGAAATATCACTCATTTACCTTCAAAGTGTTGTTTGTTTGTTTTTTTTTTTTAATATCCAGAGTCCCATGGGTATGAAATAATCAGGACATAATTTAGCACCAAGCTACCTAGATATTGCATTCCAATGACAGGAAGACCCTGATTCACTGGTGTAATGGAGATTAGAATGTGTCTAATCCATAATTACTAGACAACAGTACTATTGATACTAATCTGTTTTATTGAATAAACCTTTTAGAAGTAAAATGCCCATTCCCATCAAGACCAGACAATGGGTTTGTGAATTATCCTGCAAAACAAGCTCTTAATTACAAGGATAAAGCCACCTATGGTTGCCATGATACCTATGTCTTGGATGGTCCAGAAGTAGTAGAATGTAGCAAATTTGGAAACTGGTCTGCACAGCCAACTTGTAAAGGTAAGAAATGTGGGTGAGATCTTGAAAAGCCTCCAAAGTTACCCAGTGATTTGCCTTTTCTTTTAATGATTTCCCACTGGTTGCTCAGGCTCTTTTAACAGTTATTGGTGTGTGAAAGACTTTGGGATCCACCTGTGCATGGGGAGCTCCATGCTTAGGAAGCATATCTGAGATTAAACTGAAGAGATAACAGATTCTTTGGAAGTACTGATAATATGATGGAAGATTGTGTGGGCTTCCTAAAATTGCTCTAAAGTCTTCGCCCATGAGCATTCTTTTCTGCTTTGTTCTAGCCAACACTCTTTTTGTTGGTGGTTGCAAAAACCAACCCTACATTCAAACTTGTTAGAGGAAATGGGGATTATTATAAAAGGGCAACAGGCAATCATATGGACATTGGAGATCAGAAGATGAAACACAGGTTCTCCTAAGATTTGGAACTGATAATCAGGAACAATCGCTACTCTTTCCATGTCTCAGTGGCCTCATAGTCTCTTTCACTTGTTTTTTCTGCTTACTCACCTTGAACCTGGCATGACTCTACACCAGGACTTCTCAATTAAAGTGTTATTCACTAACTGACCTCTTTTCTTTTTTCAGTTGGTTGTTTAACCTTGATTTGGTCAATGTCATGCTTATGCAAAAAAAAACAACCACTGGGTTTGTTTAAACAGAGTTTCTGTTTAAACAGTAGATCTGATAGATCCAGTAGATCTGGATAGAACTTAAGAATTTGCACTTTCTCCAAGTTCCCAGGTGATACTGCTAATCCAGGGGCTATTTTTTTAACGAAGATATAGTCTCAGCAGTAATCTAGTATCAGTTTCATTGCCATGAGGGATCTGGAGCATGAATTCTACTCCAGAGTTGACCCCACCAATGAGTGGACCTGGTTTTCTGTAACCCCTTGTCAGTAGGTCATTGGTTATGGGATGCTCCTTTCCCCAACCCTAGGATTACGAGCTGGTTCAGATAACCTCCCGGGTGAGGTTATGACCAAAGGCAATTTTTCAGAGACAGGAACAGTTGTGAGCAGTTATCAGCCAACATTTACACTGGTTGGTTCGATGGGTAAACTAGCTCAATAAATGAGATCTGAGTTGGGTGATGTAGGCTTATAGGGGATGGAAGTATCTGGTAGAAATTCTTTTTCACTGAAATGTAGAATCTGATGCTTCTCCTCTGTCCTTTTTATGTGGCTCCTGTAGGGGAAGGCACGGCCATCTTGGAAGCCATGACTGAGGGGGCAGTTAATACAAAACACTGTTAGCATAGAGACTGATGTTATTCACTATTTTCCTTGGAATATTTTTGTCTTAAATAATTTGTTTCAGGTGTACTCACCCACTATTCAAATACTTCATTGTCTTTAAGAAAGATTGAACTCTTAAATCTTGACTACCAATATTATCTTTTTAGCAACTTGTAAAATATCTGTTAAAAAAGCTACTGTGCTATACATGGGAGAAAAAGTAAAGCTCCAAGACAAATTTAAGAATGGAATGCCACATGGTGAAAAAGTTTCTTTCTTCTGCAAGAATAAAGAAAAGAAGTGTAGCTATACAGAGGAAGCTCAGTGTGTGGATGGCACCTTTGAAGTCCCCAAATGCTTCAAGGGTAAGTCTAACATTGGAACTTTTAGGTGGGACTTACACTTTTCCCGCACCATAATCAGTGCTTTTACTACATAATGACTGTAAGAAGCCATGTCAATTTGGAAATTGGATTTTTAAAAAGTGAGGTGGAAGGCAGGAGAAAGTAGTGAGGTGGAGCAATAAGGTGTATTCACATTTCCCCATTTGCACAACATTTTCCTTCCCAATTCTTTTCCTTAAAATTCAAGGTTGTGGTTTTGTTTGGTGAATGTTGCTATGTATTATACCATATTGTAAATTTCTAATTAAGTTTGAATTATAATATTTAATGCAATATTGAAAAAAATGACATTTATCACCTCTTGTCCCAATGTATAAAGAACGCACCCCAAGTGAGTGGCAGTGGCAATGGCAGTATTTAGAGCTGCCAGTCTTCTAAGTTTCAGATTTAGGGTTGAAAGAACCTTATTGTTATGAAGAAAGGAGCAGCCAGAGGCTGGAGCTATTGTTGGGTATAGGTTTAGAAATGCATTAAGGATGAGGAGGGCGATATGTCAGAAGGCTGTGGGAGGATGGAAATGGGAACAGGTAAAGAAAAGAGGGGTCTGAGACTTGCCCAGCTGGAGAGAGAGGGGAGAGGGGTAGAGGAGAGAGGAGAGAGGAGGTGAGGAAGAGAATGGGAATAATAACTAGTACATAGTGCCCCCCTCATAGATCTGATCTTTAGAAATATTATGCATGACATGGGTTAAGTGCTCAACCAATGATAATTGGTTATAATTATAAAATACGTAATTATAAATATATTTTAGTATTTCACATCTTACCAGTGCTCTGCCCTATTTTGAAAAACATTTTTTCAGTGCATGTCTAACTATAAATTATTCATAATTACAATTGTTATAATATATAATTATATATCATATATTATATAACATAATATATAAATTATAGTATATATTTAATAGATAACCTATTATGTATTATCATGTGTATATCATGTATTATGTATTCTAATATATAATTATATATCACACATATATAGTTATAGGATACATATAATTATATATAACATGTATTATGGAAATTATAATTATGAATAACAGAGTTAGAAATACACTGAAAAAAATTGCTGTTGTTCAAAATAGGGCAGAGCCCTGGTGAGATCTTAATACTAAAATTGACAGTGCACAAAAATCCTTGTACAGATCAATAGGAAAAATATCAGAAGAGGATGACTAAAAAAATAAGACAAAACGAACCAGAGCTTTGTTGATGTATTTCTTCAAGCTATTCCCCCTCCCTACAGACAATGCAGCACTGTTAGTATCTTGGAGAATAAAGGACTGATTCAATTTTTTTCCTTTTAATTTTCACTATCACCATTATCTAGAGCCTTTTAATTTCTCCCTGGGAAATGCTTTACCCTTTTCCCGGAGGTTTTCTTACCTCTTAAACCCCATACTAAATAGTTTCGGTAGTACAATTAAATTTATTCTATACATTTGTAAAATGTATTTGATTTGGCTTAGCTATTTAATAAGGTTAAGACACGATTGTATCTCTTAGAATATTTATCTTTTTCTCCCCAAACAGAGCACAGTTCTTTGGCTTTCTGGAAAACGGATGCATCAGACGTAAAACCATGTGAAACTGGTCCTTAGATTCAAAATTAAATGTCATACTTGTATCCGTGTTTGTCCAAGACACCTGAAGGTCGTGAAGAATAAAGTTACTGAATTTATTGCCTTGGCTAAAGCAGTATTAGTCCTTATGGTTGCTCAATTTTAACTGTGCTATCTGGTTAAGAAACTCAAATATCCCAGAGCATCATCTTTTCATGACTGAAGTGGGATGAGTCAGCAATGGTGTGGGTTTCCCAGGTCCCACCTGATGAGGGAGCACGCTCAATGAGGGGCTGCTATGGGCCACCTCAGGGGTATAAACACAATAGGTCACGGGCCCATTGGAATGGATTACTCTTCAGTCGTTAAGATCATGGCAGCAGAGAGAGTGTCTTATGGGAAGATCTGGTGACTAATAACTGGTCCAAAAGCTTTTCAATGCCCTGTCATGCCTGCTTTCCAGAAGGATTTGGAACAGCTTAATGTTGAAAGGACATTAATCACGTAAAAATAAACCCAACACACAAGAAACAAAGCAAACACACAGATATTATATGTTTATTGTTACATCATTTAGTTTTTTTAGATTTTTTTATATTGCCCATACAATTGCACCCCCCTTATTTTGACACCAATCCCGCCTCTCCCCGCCCCGCCGCCCCGCCATGGTGTGTCTCTGGTTTATAGTTGCTTTTTGCTTTTGATTTTTTCTTTCTTCTAGTTATTCTTTTTCCTGGTCCCTTATTTAGGTTTTCTAAATTCCTGCTATGAGTGAGACCATCCGGTATTTTTCTTTTTCTTTCTGGCTTATTTCGCTGAGCATGATCCCTTCCAGCTCTGTCCATGTTGCTGCAAATTGCATGGGTTTATCTTTTTGGATGGCTGAGTAATATTCCACTGTGTATATGCACCACATCTTCTTGATCCATAAATAAATAAATTAAAAAAAATAGAATTTTTTGCAAGAGCAGGCTTAGGCTTACAACAAAACTGGAGGTACAGAGATGCCACATATTCCCCTTGCCGCCAGCCCACCCCAACGTCCTCCCCCATCACCAACATCATTTCCCAGAGCTGTTCATTCATTTTTTAAAGATTTATTTATTTCTTGAATAGAAGAACTTGGGTACAGGCCAGAGGTGCTGGGCGGGGTGTGTGTGTGAGAGGACTCACCAGAGACAGAGTTGGGAGCAGAACAGTCAGATCCACTGAAATACACTGCTGAGGGGAGCGGCGAGACAGGAGAGGTCTGCTGCGCCATGTGGGTCACCTTCCTGTGTGGGGATGAACTCAGGCTGCAGCCAGTGGTGATGGGACTGAGACTTAACCCCTAGGCCACCAGGAGGCCCAGCTGTTCTTTTTTTTTTTAATCAAAGATGAACCTGCATTAACAGCATAATTCCCCAAGTCCAGAGTTGACCTGAGGGTTCCCTCTTAGTTTTGTACATTGTGTGGGTTTGGATCATCATTTTAATACCATAGAGAGTAGTTTTACTTCCTGAAAAATCCTCTGTGCCCCTACAACCACTGATCTTTTTGTTGTCTCTATAGTTTTGCCTTTTCCAGGGTGTCACATACACCCTGGAATCATACAATATGCAGCCTATTCAGATTGAATTCTCTCCTTTGTGATCATGCATGTATTTTCTAATGGCTTGATAGCTCCTTTATTCTCAGTACAGAGTAGTATTTCATTGTCTGGTTAGACCCATGTATTCATTATCCATTCACAACTAAGGGCATCTCCGTTGCTTCCATGTTTCGATAATTAGGAACAAAGCTGCTATAAACATCTCTGTGTAGATTTTTGTGTGAACATAAATTTTCACCTGCTTTGGGTGAAGCATGATTACTGGATCATATGGTAAGAGGCATTTATTTATTATATTAGTTTCAGATGTACAACATGATGATTTGGTAGTTGTATATGTTATGAAATGATCAGCACAGTAACTCTAGTTGGCATCCACAATCACTCATAGCAATGACCTTTTTTCTTATGATGAGAAATTTTAAAATCTACTCTTTTAGCCTTTATTTGCCATCTGTATATCTTCTTTGGTGTGGTGTCTTTTAAGGTCTTTGGTCCATTGTTAAAAACAGTTTTCTTATTTTTGAGTTTTGAAGGTCTTTGTGTTTTTGGGTAAGAGCCCTTTATCAGCTATATCTTTTGCAAATATTTTATCCCAACCTGTGGCTGTTTTTCCTCAATGTTTTGGCACTGTCTTTCATCAAGCAGTTTTTCATTTTAATGATGCCCCACTTAGCAATGATTTCCTTCATGGGTCTTATTTTGGAATTATATCTAAAAAGGTACTGCCATACCAATATCATTTAGATCTTCTCCTGTGTTACCCCTTAAGAGTTTTTATAGTTTTGTGTTTCACATTTAGGCCTATGATCCCTTTGGAAGGTCTGTGTATGGATTCTTTCCCTCCCTGTGGATAACCGGTTATTCAGCTGTGTTTATTGAAAAAATTCTCTCTGTTTCACTGTATTGTCTTTGCTCCATTGTCAAAGATCAGTTCACTCTATTTATGGGGGGACCATTTTCTGGGCTTTCTATTCTGGTCCATTCTATTTATCTGTTCTTTTGCCAATACCATGCTGTCTTATAGTAGCTTTATATCTGTTGTTTGGTAACATCAACTGTTCAGAAGCCAAAAACTTCCAAGTCCAGCATTCCTATTTTGTTCACACCTACACTACTCCACTCTCTCCCCTGCCCCCAGCCTATTCCACAGAGAAGCTCCTGGAATATGGCAGGTTTGTTGAGAATGACTTTTTGCACCATTTTTCTCATTTGAAGGCATTTCAGACTGCTGGATACGCTTGGATCCCTGAGAAAATAGAGTAGAATTTAGAGCTTAGACACTAGTACTGATTCCGTTAATGTATTGCTATTTCCACATAAAGAAAAATCTACCAGTTGTTTTTTGTTTTTTGCAAGCTGAAGAGGCATTTTGGATTAAAGGAACCATCAGCAGAAGCTACCCAGTTGCATAATAACTAATATTTAGTTATTATGTGTGGTCCATTTAGTCCCATAAATACTCTGTTTTGCAAATGTTTTTCTTCTTAAAGGGTTAGATCACCAGCTTGTCTGTTATGGAAGTTCAGCGATACTCTCCCTAGCAACAGAGTGTGGAGCTCTCCTCTGCTGGCTGATAGTCCAGGAGGCACTACGCTCTGCTTTCCCGGGCAGCCCAGTGAAAAGACAGAAAAAAAGCCACAAGTGGCCGATTCTTGTTCTCTGCAGGCACACCTTAGGGAGCTGGATTCTAGACCATCACAACAAAATGCTGGAAAGTGACTCACATGAATTTTTTTGGTTCTTCAGTGCATATAAAAGCTATGTTTACACTGTACTGTAGACTATAAGTGTGCAGTAGCATTATGTTTAAAAAAACAAAGTACAAACCTAGTCAAGTGTGACACAGAGACACAAAGCAAGCTTTGGGAAAATGGCGCTGATAGACTTGCTCAATGCAGGGTTCTCTCAAAACTGCACTTTGTAGAAAATTATGCAACATCTGTCCCATGCAGTAAAGTGAAGTGCAATAAAATGAGGCATGTCTGCATTTTAACATGGCTGACTTTGGTCCTCACAGCTTATGCAATTACTGAACTAGCAGCTGCAGTCTCAATGAACCCAGTGTACATGGTCAAGTGCCCTCGTGCAAGACACCTGAAGTCCCAATGCTTCTCTTGCATTATGACAAGATGCATTTCTCAATGCAAATGTTTCTGTCTTTTGACTTTTCTCTCTTGCTGTAACATATTTCTACAAGAAATTTATTCTATAGACAATGAAATCTCTTATTTCCAAGACATTAACAAATCTTTCAATATGTGTGGTCTTATATCTCAGTCCCCAAACTCAACAATAAGTATTTCATTAGTAAAATTTCCCTTCTAGCTGGAGATTCATTCTCCATCTTCATCCCTTAATAAAAGATTAAAAAAAAGAAAAGAAAGAAAAGAAAACAGGTTGGGGTGTGTGCACATGTGTGTGAGTATGCTTGTGTTTATGCAGCTGGGGACACATGTGTGAACATATTTATCCCTCGAGTGGTGTGTGCATATATGTGTTTTATGGGTGTGAGCATGTGTGTGAGCGGTGTGCATGTGTGTGTGCGTGTGTGTGTGTGTGTGTGTGTGTGTTTGTGTGAGAGACGTGACTAGTTCTTTGCGTGCTAATGTTGCCTCCTAGTGGAAAAACATTTGGGAATGAAAAAGAAAACTTTGCATTAAAATTTCCTAGTGTCAAGTACTGGGGAAAATTTTCCTCTGTCTCACCTCTGTTACTTCTGTCTTTCTCCTTATCCTATAAGGAATGGTTTACCCAGGTCTCAGAGCTAATAAGTGACAGAACCAGACAATCTCCAAACTTAAGAGCTGTGTCTTCACTACCATTCTCGTATTGTGAGTTAAGTGACAAATATTCCCAGTGGCTTCCTGGAAATAATTGGAATTTTACAGCCTGGGGAGGAATGCTGAGACAGGCTGCTGGGAGGTTTTTGGACAGATGAGACTATGAAGTGTCCTCATAAGTGCTGCCAGTGTGTCTGGATGCCTGCTAGGTTGGTATGCACATGATGCATGGGGAGGAGGAAGTATCTCTGATATCTCTGTTAATAGCCTGTAGCATGGACTTTCCAGAAGGCAGGGTAGAATGAATGCTGTGCAGTTCTGGCCTAAGGGAGGAATCCAGAATCATTGTGCTAAAGGTAGCAACCCTTTCTTTTTTTAAGTAGTGGTCATATCAGCAGGTCAACAGCGCCTCGGCGTCCTTGGGGCTGCCTCGTGATACAAGCTGTACTCCGTAGGTAGTCGAGGAATGCTCTGCTGTGATTTGCAGGAGGCAAATAGGTCACAGTTGTCATGGGTGGCCAGCTAGTAGCCAGCTCATAGAAACTTATAGAAAGATATTATCTGAATACATATTACTAGCACAGATTAGAAAAATTGTTAATGTGAGATGTCACTCTCAGTGAAATTTACAAAATACTTCAGAAAAACAAGTGGCAGTTGTGATCAAAACCCTTGTTTTATTTTATTTTATTTTTGTTTTTTAATTCTCATAGTGTTAGGGGGAAGT